CTCTGCCTTTCAAATAAATAAATAAAATCTTTTTTTTTTTTTTAAAAAAAAAAGCAAATTTAAAGAACTTTTAAATGCCTGGGTTTAATCCAGCTGCAGCTCCTGATTTGAGCTTCTTGCTAATGTAGACCCTGGGGGGAAGCAGTGAAGGTTCAAGTAATTGGGCTCCTGCCACCCAGGTGGGACAACTGGACTGAGTTCCCTGCTTCTGGCTTAGGCCCAGCCAAGCCCAGCCATTGTGGGCATTTAGGGAGTGAATAAGCAAAAGGGAACACTCTCTTGTGCATGCACGCTCTCTCTCTCTGCCTCTCAAATAAACAATGTAAAAATAAATAATTGCCACTGAGTGTGAAAAATGTTATGTCTCCGAGAATGTATTTTACTGAGCTTAATTAGCAAATATATCAACAATGAGAAGACACCTGCTGCAATGGTCAATGCTACAAGTAAGAATGAACCCATCAAAATCTTGTGACCTCTATTTCTTTTCCCCCTATAAAGGAAATCCAGTGTCACAATGCCTCCTACCTATTAACCCTATTGACCAAGATGCATGTTTCCATGATTTCAGTAACTAAGTTGTTACTCAGCTAATGCATCATCTAGAAGACACTAACGAATTCTAACGTGTATTTGAAGATACCTACTTGCCTCACTAAAAGGTATGGAATTTTATTACCACATATATACATACATTTTTGTTCAACAAACTGAGTACCTAATATATGCCATGCATTTTAGGAGCTACTGGAAATGATCTGGAAAGAGAAACAGTCTAGACTTTCAAATGCACAGTTGCATGGAGGAGACCAAAACAGTTTGTAAACAATGTGAGAAGTGTACTAAATATGGTGAGGAAACAAAGGAGAGACACCCATCCAGAGTAAACTGAGCATCCTTGAACATGAAGTAGGTAGCCTGGCGACCCTGCCAAGAGACTAGAAAGAGTAAGAAGGTGCCGGAAAGATGGTGTTGTGACAACAGGAAGGTAAAAATGGCAAAGTCTTGTAACGAGACATTGGACCTGGGGAAGCAGAAAGGAGGAGACAAACCAGGATGCAGACTTAACGGACACAGTGATTGGTTGGCTGGTAGTGATAGGGAGAAATGGTCAAGAACGAAAGCTAACTGGCCAGTAACTGACCTGTGCTGACACAGTAAGCTCAACAACAACAGGTCTGGGCAGTCAGAAAGGAGGACTCTGTTGAGTCTAAAGTACCAAGTACTTCAAAAAATTCATGGAAAGTGGATTTTTTTTTTTTTTTTTAAGATTTACTTATCAGGGCCAGGACTGTGGTAGAGCAAGTAAAGTCACTGACTGTAATGCAGACAACCCATATGGGAGACAGTTTAAGTCCTGGCCACTCCAGTTCTGATCCAGCTCCCTGCTAATGGTCTGGGAAAGCAGTGGTAGATGGTTCAAGTGTTTGGGACTCTGCTATCCTCTTGGGAGACCGGGAAGAAGCTCCTGGCCTCCTGACTTCAGATCAGTCCAGCTTCAGCCATGGCAGCCATTTGGGGAGTGAAGCAGCAGATGGAAGATTCCCTCTCTAACTCTTTCAAATAAATAAATCTTGAAAAAAGGTTTCAGATTTACCAGAATGTAGGTAGGTGCATTTTAATTGCACATAAGAGTATGTAGACTGAGAATAGAGAAAAGCAGAGGGCAGAAGCCTGAAAAATTCTAATATCTAAGCCACTGCTAGGAGATTACAGGCAACATAAATACTTTGAACAAATGGCAGAGATGATAAGCAAAGGCAAGGGGAAAATCAGCATCCCAGCCATCAGTGGAAGAAAGTTTCCAAAAGGAAAGGAATCAATTGTGTCACCGGCCACAGAGAAGTCAAGATGGAAATTCATTCCTTGGCCTTTCATAATGAAAACAACCTCATTATAAATCACCCAAAAAAGACAGAAAAAGATTGGTTTCTGGCATGTATTTATTGCTGAAATAAGCTTATACTTTTTTTTTTTGCTTATTAAAACACTCTCAAAAGTGAATCTGTATTTCAAAATAAAAAGTTCATAAAAATAGCTCCATAATATAATCCTTTTAAAGAGATGAGGAAATACTTACATTTTCCCAGTAAACTTTACCTTAGCTAACACAGGGCTCACAGACTTAATATCCATAGGATCTAAGCAAGTAAAATGAGTGAGTAAAGCAATTTGAGTCTGGGGGGATAGGGGATCCTGGAGAACAGAAAAAGTGACCCCTGTGATAACTACTAAGAGCACAACCCAGGTTCAGAGTTCATTTCAGTAGCTGGTAACATATGCCCTTTCTATAAAGAGCAGGCATGCCCAACTCTCACTACATGACTATGGACCAGCTTGCCAAGTTATCTAGCTTTCAAGAAAAGCTATAAATGTGTTTTTTTTTTTACATGAAATCTCCCAATTTTAAAATACAGCTGATTAAATTTTTCTGAAATACATGTTAATTTAACAAAATACACCAATAAATCTAAGGCAGCCCATGAGCCATCATTTTAGCTTTGCTGTAGAATACATATGACACAGCAGTTCAATCTTCTATGTTGTGAAAGTAATAAAAGGGCTCACAGGCAGTAATACAGCCAGTTCTGGAATCTAGTCCTTGTTCCCAAATTATTTCCTTCCTCTGTAATTACACAGCCTCTTTATCAAATGAAATACATACACAGGTTAGTCTGACGTGCAGATTAATAGGTCATGCTGTGATAAGTTTAGGAAAGCATGAGTGTCACATTTTATCAGTCCAGATTCTCTGTCACTCCTGAAATGCTGTTTAGTAGAAATTCCAGGAAATAAATTACTGAAGAGTCATCAACTGTGTATCCCTTAACAAATGCTGCCTTAAATGTAAAGGACACAATTGTACCTTTAAGCAAAAACTGTAATTAAGTGAAACAAATTATCTTTATATCAAGATTTAAAAAAACGCATCAAGTATAATACTTCAGTTTCAGGAGAAAAATTTACTGCAGGGATAACAGGAAAGCTGGACTCCAGGGGTGGGTATTTGGCCCAGAACTTTATATATATATATATATTTGACAGGCAGAGTTAGTGAGAGAGAGAGAGAGAGAGAAAGGTCTTCCTTTTCCGTTGGTTCACACCCCAAATGGCTGCCACAGCCCGTGTGCTGCGCCAATCTGAAGCCAGGAGCCAGGTGCTTCCTCCTGGTCTCCCATGGGGTGCAGGGCCCAAGCACCTGGGCCATCCTCCACTGCCTTTCCGGGCCACAGCAGAGAGCTGGCCTGGAAGATGAGCAACCGGGACAGAATCCGGCGCCCCATCCAGGACTAGAACCCGGGGTGCCGGTGCCGCAGGCAGAGGATTAGCCTAGTGAGCAGCGGCGCCGGCCTTTTTTTTTTTTTTTTTTTTAAAGATCTATTTATTTGAACGGCAAAGTTAGAGAGAGAATTGCAGAGTCAGAGAGAGAAGTCTTCCACGCACTGCTGGCTCACTCCCCAAATGGCTGCAATGACCAGGGCTGGAAGCCAGGAGCCAGGAGCTTTCCCATGTGGGTGCAGGGGCCAAGCATTTTTGCTACTCTCCAAGGGGCATTAGTAGGGAGCTGCATCGGAAGTGGAACAACTGGGACTCAAACCGGTGCCCACCTGGAATGCTGGCATTGCAAGTGGCAGCTGAACCCACCATGCCACAGTATCAGGCCCAGCCCACAACTTAAGATGCCAGTTAGGATGCCCACATCTCATATCCAGGTGCCTGGGTTCAAGTCCTGGCTCTGTTCCTCATTACAACTCCCTGCTCATGTGCACCCTGGGAGGCAGTAGTGATGACTCCTGTGGTCCCTGCCACCCATGTAGGAGACCAGGATTGAGTTCCTGGCTCCTGGCCCAGCTACTGCCCCCCTCCCCCCGCCATGGCAGACATTTGGGGAAGGAACAAGCAGATGAAATTCTCTCTCATGCATACATTCATACCTAAGAGCTGGACTGTAAGTACCAAGACTTGACCACTCCATATTCACTGAGTCCTTCAACATAATTGGTAAGCCAACTACTTCCTGTTAAGCAGGCATAGATTCTCCAGTGTATGGCACACATATTTAAATTCTTTCAATGCAACAGGGAGGTAGGGGCTAAGAATAAGATGCAAAGAGAGCTAGTTACAGCTTTTGTTCTTGCTAACAGACTTGCAAGAGCCAGGTATGATGGCCTGAGTCAGTGGGCTTGATGGGACTTGGACTCAGGTGTTGTGACTCCAAGTTAGCAGCTGAGGCCCCGTGAACTGAAAGGAATCATTTGAATTCCTGGCGAGGAATTCCCTTCTAAAGCTCACTTTCACCTGTACAGTCTTGTACAGGTAGTCTGTTGTACATAGTCTGTTGGCTATGTTACTTTATTTGAGAGTTAGGAGAGAGCGAGCGAGAGACAGACAACGAATCCATCTACTGGATCATTCCCCAAATGCCCAGAACTGCCAGGGTCTCCGACGCGGCAGGGCCCTAAGGTACTACAGCCATCACCTGCTGCCTCCCAGGTCGTGCATTAGCAGGAAGCTGCAACGGGAAGCGAGAGCAGTGACTTGAACACATGCACTCCGGTATCACTCCGACACGAGATGGCTGCAGTCCCAAACCCGGTGAGCCAAATGCCCGCCTCACCACGCTTTAATTCCATTTTGTGGCCTCAAAATACATCGAATCTGTCTTCTGCTCGAGGAGCGGCAAACCTACCTACCTATTCGGCTTCGGGGTCACCTGAGTCTAGCAGCGTTTGCACAAAATCTAACCCAAATCCAAACCCACCGGCTTTTATTGCGGCAATTTAATATTCACAGCAAAACCAGGACATGGCCTCAAGGTGTCACTGGGCCGGCCTCCAGCTTTCGCTTAGGCTTGGGTAAAGCGATCTGAAATTCGGGGCACGGCCTGCGTTTCTTGGGCGAAATGTCATTTACGGCCGGGCCGGGATAAGCCAAAGCCAACAGCAGCGGCGCGGCTGCGCGGTACCGGGAGCCATGCTAGCAGGTCACACGCCGCTCACCTTCACAGTCGGCCCCCGGCCGGCCCCCGGCTTCCGGGCCCTGAGCCTGCACCGGACTAGAGACCCAGAGCCCAGCGCAAAAAGCCAGCACGGCACCTAGGCTCGCGCACCACATGCTGAGCCGGCACCTGTAGTCAACTACAATACCCGCACCAGAGCACAGAGGCTACCGCCCCAGGTTGCAACAAGACCCCCGCAGAGCGGAGCCCGAAGTGGGAGGAATCTGCGCGGAGTCGTAACAACAAATGACGAAACTCAATCTAGAGTTTCAATTGGCTCTCCATAAAGGGTCACGGGAGAGAGGCGGGGCGAAGGAGCTTCTTCCTGTCGCCGCCGCAGCCGGCACATGCGCCTTGTAGCTCCAGCAGAACGCGGAGAGATGCGCTGATGCTATTCGCCGACTGCTCATGGGGTAGGAATGGACCTTAACTCTGATTGGTGGCGAGAGGGAGACCGCGGCGAATCAGACGTAGGGGGGGGGGGAACGTGAAAGCTCCGCGGTGCCTGATGGGGCCGTTTGGCGGCCGGTAGCTGTTGGCAACTGAGGGACCCCTCGTTTCTGCTGTCGCTCCCCCTGATGCCCTATGGCGGCCATCGGAGTCCACCTGGGCTGTACTTCAGCCTGTGTGGCCGTCTATAAGGTGAGGGACTTGTGGCGCTGGGCTACGGTACCTGGTTCTCTGGGTGCAGGGTCACCTGCAGGGTAGGGGCGGCATGTTGCCGACCCAGTATCGTGGCCTGGAGTGGCCTTCCTGCAAGACCTTCGGAGGCGGAGGGCCGAGTGTGCCGGGCCTCGTCCCGGCGGCTCCTGTGGAGAGCCGGCTGCGCTCTGAGGCTCGTGGCGATGTGCCTGCACGTGGGTTCGGGAGGTGTCCCGGGGACGTCAGAGCCGCAGGGATGTCCGAGGGTGACGTCACAGTCTCAGGATTCCCGGGGGTGGACGGGCTCTGGGGCGTCAGAGCATCGGGACGCGCTGGGCTGGACCGGGAGGGGCGGGGTGGCCGCGATCTGAAACTGGAGCTCTTGATCCCTGCAAGTGTGCCTCGCTCTGGAGCGAGTTGATCGTCCGTGCGCTGCAGACTTGGCCTGTCTGGAAGCGAGAGCTTGACGAGGACTGTGGCCTTCCTCGGAAGGAGCAGTAACAATGAACTCCTGCAGTTGAATGTCAACTCTGTAAGGAAAAACCAAAGGCATTAGTGCTGCTTCATTTGTAGGAAAGAGAGGAACATTAGGGATGGAGGTGGGGAAGAGAAGGCAAAGGGGGGTGCGATCATAGCTTGCTGTTGTGATGGAAGCGTTGTTGTCTTTGATTAGGCTGTTGATCCTGGGGAGCAGGCTCATGGAATGTCGGCCTGTTTTATTTGAAGAGACTAAATGTCGTGTTTTTCTCTAGGATGGCCGGGCTGGCGTGGTTGCAAACGATGCAGGTGACAGGGTTACTCCAGCTGTTGTTGCTTACTCAGACAATGAAGAGGTACTGTTGTCCTCATTTTTTTACTTGGAAAAAAATTTAAAGTTACATGCATTGTAATGTATTGCTCTGTTTCAGGTTGTTGGACTGGCAGCAAAACAAAGTAGAATAAGAAATATTTCAAATACAGTGATAAAAGTAAAGCAGATCCTTGGCAGAAGGTATGGAATAAAGTGATATCTTAAAATATGGTAATAAAAACATGTTTGCAAATTCTAGCATAATGTTAAATATAATTAGCAGTATCACATTGTGTTTTTTGTAACAGTGATTTTGGAGACTACCCCCAGGAGACAGACTGACTTTTTTTTTTTTTGAATATTGCTATTGGATCTTTTCTTGGGTGAAATTCTTACAGGTCTATTAGTATTGATAAATATCAACATTTCATTTAGTTTTGAACATTTTTATCATTTAGAGGTTGTAATCTGGATTTTCCATAATTTTATAGTGCTTTTTTAACTGAAGGAACTTGAAAAATTTGTGGGAATTTGAGGACTTCTTTGCAGGATGGTTGAATTTCTTCAAAATCTATTACAGTTGCTTATAATTTATGTACATGGTATTAATTTTCTTCCTCTGGGCCTTTTGTGACACTTTCTGGGAATTAGCTTTACCAGCTGGCTTAAAATTTCATCATTAGAGAAGAATCTTAATTAATATCTTATATATGAATCAGGTTAATCATCTGTTGTAACTTTAATTAGAAGATTAAAGAGGCTTGCTTCCTCAGACTTCTGTCTCTTCAAATTATAGATTACTATACTAATTAAGAGTTTCATTTTAATTAGCATAGTAATACTTGATAGAGTGTTTTTAAATTTCTGAAGTATTTTCACATCTGTTTTATTTAATTCTCTCAAAATCCCTGTAACGCTGGTAGGGCAGGTACTGTCCATCCCCATTTATAAATGAGAAAAGGCATAAAGTTGTGGGATTTTAACTTAGTTAAGGGATAAACTAGATAAGACTGCAGGTCAGGTCTCCTAACTCTCGGCCCCAGGTTCTTTTCTTTCTACGTTGTTTAATAAGGACTTAAATAGAAATTTCCTTGTTGATTTTAGGATCTGGAGATTATAGATTACATTTAATATTTCTTTTATACATACAAGTATCTTAATTATCTCTTATGTTTAGTTAAATCAAATTTGATCTTAATTTTTCTTCCTTAAGATATCTGTGCATTAAACCAAAAACCGTAGTACGGAAAGAATTCAGATTTTTGTGATGATAAATATTTTCTCATATCCTTTAACCTGTTGACAAAACTGGTACTGAGCAAATTAAAAATAAAATTACTTGGTTTCAAATATTTTCAGATCATAAACTCTGGGGAGAAAAAAACATAAACTTACAAGTCTTGGAACCAGAATCACTGAGCAGCCAACAATATGATTAAACTGTATTTTGAGATAATTGTAGTTTCACATGCTGTTATGAGAAGTACTACAGAGATACCTGGTGTGTTGCTGGATTTGCCACTTTGTACAAATGGTGACATCTTGCAGAACTATAGTGTAGTGTTAGCCAAGATGTTGATATTGATACAGTCGAGCTAGAGAACATTTCTGTAGACCTATCAATACCCTGGGAGCCAGTAGTATGTTTTTTGTTTGTTTTATGTTGATATTTGGGGACAGGTAGTTAAAGTAATGGTGTAGCTGTCTTTTGCCGTATTATGCAGAAAGCTTGGTATTAGCAGAATGGCTTACGCTCAGTTTTCTGGCCTGAAGGTTGCCTTTCAGCCAAGGCGTTCAATAGTGGCGGTAACACATAGCCACAGCATGCTCGCTAGGCAAAGGTTCCTACAGGATGAATACCTTTCAGACATACTGTGAACCATTGTCCTGCTAGTACTTCTGCAGAGTTAACTGCCACATGGCCCAGTTTGTTTTCCTCTCTGATCTGTCTACTCACTGGTGGTGATTTTTATAGATATGTGGTTGTACCAGGTCTCAGCCTTGCTTCGAAGCATTTGGCCGTTTGTGGAAGAACCAGTCCCTCTGTGACCCTGCCATTAAGCTTTTTTTGGTCCAGAACCTACCCTGGGCAAACTCAAGTAGGGATTTCTCCGTCTTGGCCTCATGCCTGTTTATGATCTATCTACTCACAGGTAGCCCCACTTAACTTGCTGCCAACTTGTCCTTACAAACCCTCCCTGTAACTCTCCTTCCCCTCTGGCCTTCCAGCCAGAAATGTGGTCCTTGGACCAGGCTTTTCAGCAGTTAGCCCTGAGAAGAAAGAATCTGCTGGCTCCTGGAAATACACGGAGAGTACACTGAGTTTACCCACGCCTGCTGCCTGGGAGCTTGCTTCAGTAGCCTTCCTTTCCAGCTCACTATGGCCAGTGCCAGTAGCAGTGCAGGGATCCGGTGGTCCAGACAGGAGACACGAACTCTTCTCTCCATACTAGGGGAGGCAGAGTACATTCAACGCCTCCAAACTGTGCATCATAATGCAGATGTCTACCAGGCCGTGTCTAAGCGAATGCAACAGGAAGGCTTCCGCCGTACGGAACGTCAGTGCCGCTCCAAGTTTAAAGTTCTGAAGGCATTATATTTAAAGGCCTATGTTGCTCATGCCACGAGTATGGGTGATCCACCCCACTGTCCGTTTTATGATACATTGGATCAGCTTCTCCGAAATCAGATAGTGACTGACCCAGACAATGTAATGGAAGCTGCTGCTTGGACCAAGCACTGTGAACAGAACTTAGTGGCCTCTGACAACACAGGGAAGGAGGGAGCCACCATTCTGAAAGCAAAAAGAACTCAGGCAGCTGATCGTCAGCCTACCTTGAAAACAGCTCAGGGATCAGATGAGGACTGTCAGCTGAGAATTAGCGACCGGATGCAAGAAACCAGTGACCTTGAGGACCCCTGGGATGCATCCTCAGGTGCAGGTAACTTCCCAGCATGTGAAGGATTGGGGTCCCAGAGTCACTTCATTTTAAACAAAGTGTGTGTGGGTATTCCCTGTTTCTGTCCCCCATCCTTTTTTTAAAACCTAACAGTAAGATTAAAGGGCTAAAGGTATGTAAGGTATTGGGACTCTTTTTTTTTCCTCCTTTTTTTAAAGATTTATTTTATTAATTTATTTGAAAGGCAGAGTTACAGAGAAGCAGAGGCAGAGAGAGAGAGAGGTCTTCCATCCACTGGTTCACTCCCCAAATGGCTGCAAAGCTGGAGCTGGGCCAGGCTAAAGCCAGGAGCCAGGAGCTCCTTCTGGGTCTCCCACTTAGGTGCAGGGGCCCAAGCATTTGGGTCATCCTCCACTGCTTTCCCAGGCACATTAACAAGGAGCTGGATCAGAAGTCCTGCAGCTGGGACTTGAATCGTCGCCCAAATGGGATGCTGGTGTCGTAGGCAGTGGCTTAACCCACTACACCACAGTGCCAGCCCTGGTTTCAGAACTCTTTAAACCCAAGAAAGGAAATGCTCTTTGGAACCAAAGTAGTTTTGGCATTATTTATCATGGGTACTTAGGAATTTGTGGGTATCAATGGGTTGGATAGTTACATGGAAAGGGATTTATGGAGGCCAGGGGGAAGTTTTGGAGGTAGGATTACAATAGGATAAAATACTTAGATTAAAGAAAGAAGTTCTTCCCAATCCACTGTAGGAAGAGGCCTTTCCAGGAACTACCTTGATCTTGTTAATTGTCTTTCATCTCTGAGGCTGGCTGCAAACATTCCCTAGCAGGAATGTCCTCATTGCAACATTGTTGCTTTGTTTTTCAGGGTGCTCTCAAGGGACCCCCAACTACAGCAGTTCCCACCACCTTTTCAGAGGTGCAGCTGCTCCCTGTCAGAGCAGCCCCATGGCCAGGATGGGTGTGTCCGGTGAGCCCAGTCCCTGCACCAGCACCAGCCGAAACCCTCCCAGTGTAGCCTCCACACCA